AATATAGTTGAATATAGTTGAATATAGTTGAATATAGTTGAATATAGTTGAATATAGTTGAATATAGTTGAATATAGTTGAATATAGCTGAATATAGTTGAATATAGTTGAATATAGTTGATTAATGGTACCTTGAAATTATATATAATCATTTATTTTCACTCCAGCGAATTTTACAATGATATTATAATTCCCATAAGATACTAACATTGTATTTTAACGTTGTTTCTTTGATGGATAAAAGTCATTCTCTTTATAATGACATGATCCGTTCCATTAATAAAAATTTCACTGTATCAAGTGTTTAATTAATAAATTCGCTATATCAAGAAAATTTTATTTGAACTGGCTTTAGGCTTAACTTCACTATAACAAGAGTGATGTTCTAATTCCAGTATTTAGTCGATAATGAAAAGTAGCAGCACGTAATATTTGTCTTTCTTAATCGATGCAGATTTTTGATGTCTCAGAATAATGATGCTTTGAGTAAATGTTATTTTTTTCTATTGCATTTGGCGTAGAAATTGCATGTCACAAACTTACATCAGCATTTAGAATTATTTTAACGATTTCAAAGTCATTGTTATAGAGACCAAATAGGCATTTAGTCTTATCGTGTATGCGTTAGAATCTAGGTGATTGCCATGCCACTCACTATTGGGCATGCCATTATTAGTAAAATTATATTTAAGCTTATTATAAATAATTTTATTCGTAAATCAAATATTATAATGTACAATATAAAGAATAATCTCCCTAAAAGTCTTCCTCTCAGGGCTATAGTAATAAATTACAAAATGGCACACTTAGTGTGTGCTTTAAAATCTAGGACCATATTATATTGGGCACTTAAAAAGATTTTATGTAAAGGGTGTAACAAAAATATTTAAATACTCGGTACTTTTTTTTGAACTAGTGTTCTAATGCATGTGAACATAGATTAGAAAATATTCATTATAAATATATAAATTAGAAAACGTCCATTATAAATAAAAAGTGTTGTAATTTTTTTTAAGTTCTTAAAAAATATTCAATGAAATTTGTATTTCAATTCTGCTAGTTTGCAAATTAAATAGAAAAATCTTTTTAAAAAAAAATTCAAAATTTAAAAAGGATCACTTGTTACCTGATACATTCTTCTAAATAAGAGATATTTTATTGCAGATAAATATAAAAATTTAAATGGTATAAAGATAAAATAGGGAATGAATATAAAGTATCACATTTCTTTACTCAATAACTTCCCAATAGAATTTACCGAGTAATATTTAACTTGCTAAATACTATATATAAATACAAATAGGTTTATAAAGTATTACATTTCTTTACTCAATAACTTCCCAATAGAATTTACCGAGTAATATTTAACTTGCTAAATACTGTATATATATACAAATAAGTTTATATCTTAGTCCGACCAATCTCACATTTAATAATAAAACTTTGAGATTATTCTTGTTACATACAGAACTTCTTAATCAAAATGAACTGTATGTCATTTTTTAGATATTCTAACCATTAGCTCGTGGACTTTATTGGTACCCCTAAAAGAATATCTAATTGGTTCCTTTTCATTTATTAATTCAATCTTATACTTTCTGTAAAACAAAACTACGAGCAATTTTAATTCAATTAATGCAATATTTCTTCCAGGACACATCCTTAAACCTCCACCAAATGGTACAAATTCATTCTTGCTTATCTTAAAATTACTTGTGCCTCCATGTTCTTCACTAAGAAATCGATCTGGTTTAAAGATTTCTGGTTCATCCCATTTAATAGAGTTGTTCATTATTCTGTGGTGATCAATAATAAATAAAGTTCCAGATGGCCAACGGTATTTATCTGTGTTTCCTTCACCTTCAAGAGCACGTACATTTATTGGCGCTGGACTTGTATGACGTAATGTTTCCTTGATCAATGCTGTTATATAATGACATTTTTCAAGATTGTCGTAAGTAACGACCGAGTTTATATCTGAACCAAAGACTTTAAAAATTTCTTCGTGAATATTTTTAAGAATTGATGGATTTTTAGCAACATTATAGATAAGGAAACTAAGTGCAGAAGCAGTCTATTATCAAATATTAGTTAGTATCATAAATTTATTTTGATTAAGTAAAATAATTGATAGATACCGTTTCAATGAAAGCAGCTGTAACTTCGGCAAGATTACTTCTAATTTCATCATTATTCATAGGTTGTTCACCTTCAATATATTCAGAAGAATCATTATGTGTATTAGAAATCAATAATAGGTCCAGCAAATTGAAACTTGTTCCCTTTGCTATTTCAACTCTTCGTTCTTGAATTATATTGTCTATTGTTCCATTAAAAAAATGCTTGTTTGCTTCATACTTTTAAACCAAAGCGTCATAATGATATTACCAATATATCTAGGAACAAAGAACAAAAAAGCAAGCATAGCTAGATATTCTGTCGCAATTACAGTCTCAACTAGGGATGGCAACGGTTACGGTTATGACCGGTCATGACCGGTCATAACCGTAACCGATACCGGTCGGTCAGAGAC